GCACCGGGGCTGCCCCTCTGCCACAGGGGACGAGGGGCTTGTCTTTGACAAGGGTCTGGCTCCCTCCGCTCCGCGGGGACCCTGCGCTGCCTCTCCTGCCGCCAGCGGGAAAACAGGGATCAAATCCCTTGGGAGAGGGGACCCGGCTGACACTGCCAGAGCCCCTGTCCCCAGCCCTAAGCCCGGGGGTCGGTGGTACCCGTGTGCAGGGCACACCCAGCGGGAGGGCTGGGGCAGGGACCCCCCCCCAGTTCCCAGGGACTGTCACCTGTTACAGACACGCAGAGGATGAAGAGTCCCCAGGAGGTGCTCCCTGTCCCCGGGAGGTGCTGTCCCACCTGTGGGGACACGGTGGCAGTACCAGGTCACCAGCCTGGCTCCCACGAGGCGCCAGCATCGCCCTCAGCCACATCAGGTGCAAGTGCTATTCTTTCCCTGTCTTGGAATTAACACATTTTAATGAGGTTTATACATGTGGGAAATGCATGCACACACCGAGCTAAGGAATGTTGTGCTCTGGATAAGGATTTGGCATGAGGGGAAAGGGGGGAGGTATTTTTTTTTCTCCTCTCCATAATTATTGCAGGAATGGTGAGCAGCAGGATGGGAAGGTTTCAGGGCAGAGCAGCTGTTCTAAGGAATCCCATGTACTTCACATCCTTGAAGTGATTTTCCTAACAGCTCACTCCTGTCCCTGCTGGGATGCTCATCTCACTAACTGGGAAAGCTGGAACATGGCAAGGCAAGGCTCATTTTCCATGGGCAAGGCAGAAGTTTTGCTTTCTCCAAACATTTCTGCATGGTACTTGGGGTCCTGATATGTTTGTATTGGCAGCCCACAAGGCAACCCACCCTGGAGAGCTCCATCATCTTGTTTAAAAATAGAGCCACCATTACCAAGAACTGGGAGCAGAACCAGTGCAACTGGTCCCATTAGGAGCCAGGGTGCAGGTAGAGCAGCAGGCCCCTTTTCTGGAGCCATTCACAGCACAGAATTGCACCTTTTGTCCATAACCCAGACTCAGTACAAGCAGGATAAATTCATCCCCACTACCCCAGCCAGCATTGCTCTCCAGGGAATCACAGGGAGGGACTAATTCTGTGTAATTGAGAAAGCAGAGGCCACATGGGATGCACCTGGTGGGGCTGCAAACCCACCATGGCTGTTCCTCCCTCCCCCTGCCCGGCCACTGCCAACACACATCGACACAGCCTGGGCAGACACCCCTCAGCTACACCCTGGGGCTGATCCAACATGACCATGTCACTGAGCAATGTCCTGCCCTGTCCCCTGCAGAGCTGCAGTGTGGTTGGGCTCCATCCTGGCACCAGCACTGAGCATGGCCAGGACGCCCCTGCACCTTGGGAGCACCCAGCAAAGCCAGGCATGCCTGGGCTGCTCTGCTCCTCAAATGCTTTCCCACATTATTGATGCATGAGTTTTGTCCCCAGACACGACTTTGAATTAAAATCCAAAGGTTTGGTGAACTCAACATTTTTTTTTTATTATTTTTGGAAGTTAAAATATTAATTTGTTTTCTGCATGTCATGTGGGTCCTTCCAGGGGGCTTTTGCTGACCCATACATACTATTTCAGGTTTTGAGGCAGAAAGGTCTCACTGACTGCTCCTGAAGGGACCTCAAAGACTTGCAACAGACTCATTCTCTACAGACCCTGTGGTCTACTAATGGGAGGTGTCCCTGTCCATGCAGGGGGTTGGATCTAGTTGACCTTTAAGGTCCCTTTCAACCCAAACCGCTCTGCATCTATGATTCCATGACCCTGCTCTCCAGAAGCCCTTATAAGAAAATCAGCAGAAAGTCAGACAAAGTACCAATGGTTCTGGGTTCATACGATGTGGTTTGGGCTCACTTTAGGTCCCAGCCCTGCAAAGTGCTGCACCCACTTGCCAGAACCCACCCATGCTCTTCCCTCTGGAACAGTCTCCAGAAGAAGGGGAGTTCACAGGATAGAAGGTCAGTCCACAACTTCTACCTTTCCCTTTTTTTTCTTTCTCTGCACTCTTGACAAGAGCTACTGCAGGGGCACCACAGTGAGGGATTTTGCTTTAATTTGTTCTACAGGTTATGAAGGAAATCTTAAAGCAAAGCTTCATCACTCAGTTTGAGAAGACAAATGCAATGTTTCATCATCCCTGGGAGCTATTTCTTCTTACACTTCTTGTCTGGTGATCAGCACTCAAAGATCCCAGGGTGATTTTTTTTTGTTTTCTCTGTTTTCCTAACCAAATGTGATAGAATAATGTGTTATGGTTTTTTTTCTTGCATTAGAGACATTCACCTTGCAAAAAACCTGCTGCAGCAATGGATGTTGCACTGAAGTGCTATCTGTGTCCACAGAAGAGGGAATTTTCCATAGGATTTAAATTTTGCAGCTCAGATTAATCCCCATGGCTGTTCTTTTTGCTGTTGTCTGAGTGATTCTTTTGTATTGTTTGGCTGCCATGGAAAAAAACAGTGTTGGTCACTGTGAGGCTCCTCAGCCCCCTGCCAAAATCCCAGTCACTACATCACCTCCCTGAGCAAAGTTCCCCACTCGTGGACACCTAAGCCAAGAATTCCTGGGAAGAGCAGGGATAGGATGGGACAGGGTAAACAAGTGAGTCACGGTGACCTCCTGGCCTCTCTGGGTGTCACTATGGGGCTCTGGGCTCAGGAACCAGGACCCTGTCACCCCAGAACCCCTTTTGCTGAGCGTGTTTTGGGTGCTGGTGCAGGCTGGAGCCCTCTCCAGGCCCTGGCAGGATGGGGAGGGGAGGAAACCTGAAATATTGAAATGGAGCAGTCCCAGGGCTGTGACTGGTTGCCAGTTGCTTTTTGAGGATTTGAGAGAAATTTGATGTGTGTGTGGAAGGAATTGCACCGTGGGAGAGCAGCCCTGCTGGGGAGGGACTTGGTACAAAGGCAGGGAGTGATGAGATGAGGGGGGAATGGTTTAAGCTGAAAGAGAGGAGATTTAGGTTGTACACTGGGAAGAAATTCTTCTCTGTGAGGGTGGTGAGAGCCTGGCCCAGGTTGCCCAGGGAAGCTGTGGCTGCCCCATCCATGGCAGTGCTGAAGGGCAGGTTGGATGGGGCTTGGAGCAGCCTGGGCCATGCAGAGGGTGGGGCTGGATGGTCTTTGTGGTCCCTTCCAACTCAAACCAGTGTGGGATCCTGTGGTCCCCAGAGCCCAGCTGGGATGAGCCTGGTTGGCAGGGGTGATGCAAGGCCTGGTGCAAGCTGCCCTGCTGTGTGGCTGAAAAAGGCTGGGAGTGCAGAGGTCCTGGTTCCACCTACCCTGCCCAGATGCAGTCCTGGCTCCTGGCTGCTCCTCCCATGGCTGCACACCAGGAGATGCTGCCTAGCTCTGCTCTGGACATGGGGCACAATTCAGGATTCTCTCAGTGAATCCCACTCAGTGACCTCTGCTGAGGGTCTCCTATTGCAGGCATGAAATCAAACCTCCTCCCTTCTCTCCTCCAGCCCTGACCTCAAGGAGAAAACTCCCCTTTGCTGGGAACTGGCTTGCCACCAGCTTGCTCAGCCTAGGGCTGTGAGTGCTCTTGACCAGAGCTGTGGCAGCTGAGCCAGATGTGCTCGTGTGCAGCCAGATGTGCTGGTGCTCAGAACAAGATACTCCAAAGAGCCCTGAAGAGGCTGGAGGAGCCCAGGGAACAGGCAGCCCCACAGCTGCAACAGCTGCAGCTCCTTGGGTGGATGATATTCCAAAAGCCAAGTGGAACACCAATATATTTCAGAAAAACAGAACAAGCCAAAACCAAACCAAAACACAACAAAATAACAAAACAAATGATCAATCAAGTGGTTTTCTTATTTTCTGGTCCATTTTCCACCGGAGAGGAGTTTGCTGGAACTCCCAGCAGGTACCTGAGCAGCCTGCAGACCCTGCTCCCGGGCTGGTGCCTGCAGGAACGTCCCCGGGGTCCCTGCACCTGGAAGGAAGGCGGTGACAAAACGAGCAATGACCCGGGGGTGACATGCGAGGTTTTGCTCGGACAGTGACACCTCCTGTCGCATGTCACCGACACTGAGCAAGAAGCCACCCGGGCGGGGGGGAGCGAAGAGCCCCGTGCCGGGTTTGCAACATCCCCATGGCCGGGTCAGCTCCCTGAGCCCCGTGTTACGACACAGCGGGGCCGGGGACGCGCTACGGGGAGAAACAGCGTTTCCATGTCACTGACCGGCCGGGCACGGGGAGGGGAAGGGCAGGAGGTGACCCCGGGGAGGTGGGAAGGGCTGTGCCTTTATAGAGGGCAGGGGCAGCAGGTTTCCCTTCCACTCTGCTCACTGCTCTGTTGGGATTTTCTCCCTGGAAGGGGAATTTATTCCTTTTTCCCCCCTTCAGCAGCACGGGGAGAGGATGGATGCGGGATCATCCGGAGTGCTCCTCACCCTCCTCCTCCTCTCCTCTGTCCTGTGGTTCCTGGTTTGGACAATTGATAAGAAAAGAAGGCAGCTGCCTCCGGGCCCAGCCCCGTGGCCCATCCTGGGCAACCTGTGGCAGAAGGATGTCCTGCCCCTCTACAGGAACTACGAGAAGGTAAGAGAGGAGGAGCTGGTGGTGTCAGACCCACTTCCAGCCCTGGCAGGAGAGAAACTGTAAATGTCCCCTGTCACAACAAAAGGGCCATAGTGCAGGTGACTCTTTTTCCGGCTTTCTTTAATATTTTTTTCCTCCTTTATTTTCTCTTTTCTGCCTTTCTGTTCTCTCTTTTTCCCTTCCCCTCCCAAAATTGCCTGAATCCCTGCTCCTAGGAGTCCAATCAATACTGATGTTGAAGACTTTCTCCCCCTGGAAGGGCCCCATGGTGCTGTCCCCTCTCAGGGCTGTGGTATCCCAGAGATGATGCTTAGAAGCCCCAAAGTGGCAGCAGGATCAGAGCCCCTGGGGAGGGGGCTGGGGTGGGGAGAGGACACTGGCTTCGGGGGAGGTGGCTCCCCTCCCTGCCCCTGGGTTTGGGGCCACCAGAACAAATCAAAGATGAAACACCTGGCTGGGGTGGGACCCTGGCTGACCACAGTGTCCCTCCCCAGCTCAGCAGCATGTATGGCCCCATCTTCACTGTCTGGCTGGGGCTGAAGCCCATGGTGGTGCTCTGTGGGTACGAGGCGGTGAAGGGTGCTCTGGTGGACCACTCTGAGGAGTTTGGAGGGAGACCTAAAATACCACTCCTGGAGAAACTGTCAAATGACTATGGTAGGTCTGGATTTCTTCTAGACACTATTGCTCTCTGGGTGAGCAGAAAGTCCCCACATGCTGCTGGCCATGATTGAGTCCAGTGAAAGACTCAACACCCAAGACCTCAAACACCCATTTCAGACCCTGCAAGTCCCTCCAACTATTAAGCCTGTTGTCCAAGGACATTAATTCCAGTTAGCGGGTTCCAGCTTTGTTCTGAGCTCCCAGGGATGATGAAACATTGCATTTGTCTTCTCAAACTGAGTGATGAAGCTTTGCTTTAAGATTTCCTTCATAACCTGTAGAACAAATTAAAGCAAAATCCCTCACTGTGGTGCCCCTGCAGTAGCTCTTGTCAAGAGTGCAGAGAAAGAAAAAAAAGGGAAAGGTAGAAGTTGTGGACTGACCTTCTATCCTGTGAACTCCCCTTCTTCTGGAGACTGTTCCAGAGGGAAGAGCATGGGTGGGTTCTGGCAAGTGGGTGCAGCACTTTGCAGGGCTGGGACCTAAAGTGAGCCCAAACCACATCGTATGAACCCAGAACCATTGGTACTTTGTCTGACTTTCTGCTGATTTTCTTATAAGGTGAGTGGTCTCCACTGCCCCCCTCCAGGTTTTGTCTCCTACGACGAGAGGAAGTGGCGGGAGCTGCGGAGATTCACAGTCAGCACCCTGAGGGACTTCGGGATGGGGAAGAGCTCCATGTCCCAGCGGGTGCAGCAGGAAGCCCAGCACCTGGTGGAGCTGCTAAGAAAACTGGAAGGTGACGTTCACCCTGGTCCATGGGGCAGGTGGAGCACATGCAACAGCTCCAGATAAAATGTGTGGTCCTCAGAGCTTTTGCAACAGCTGGTGTGGATGATCCTTGTGGAGAGGGGTTGGACCTGGCTCCACCCCACGAGGGAGCAGGGACGTGGTAGGGTTATGACTTAATGACCAGGGTGGGAGATCCTGCTCCTGAACTGGTGCAGGGGGTGGCAACCACTGAGGAACATTTCATGCCCAAAGAATGGGAGTAGGAACTGAGAATGCACAGCACTGAGAATGCGCAAATGAGATACTGTCCTGGTGACAAGGGGGTGATGGCCTCCACTCCCATAAAATTGAGCTGCCAGTGCTACCATGTCTTCTGGGGCTCCCAAATATCAGAAGAGATGGAACCCTGGTCATAGGCTGGCTCCTCTGCCACTGGTGTGTGGTGCTGGCGAGGGGCTGGTTGCCACAGGGAGATGCTCTGCAGCCCCTGAGTCCCCAGGGCATGTCAGCAGGAGTCCAAATCCCCTGGAGATGCCTCTTCTTTCCTCAGTGCCAGCCACTGGGGAGGGGTTTAGAAGCAGGGAGATAGAGGTAGGAACCCAAGAGCTTAGACATGGTGGACTCAAGAAGGGCTCAGAGCTCAGAGGACAGGGGTTCAAAGAGGGAGGAAGGACATTTTCTGTGTTGAAGCAGATAACTCAGTGTTGACTTTTTGACACCCTTCTTGCCTCCTCTGTGGCTGCAGGAAAGGCCTTTGAGCCAATGGTCACGTTCAGACATGCAGTTTCCAACGTGATCTGCTCCGTTGTCTTCGGCAGCCGCTACAGCTACAGTGACAAGGACTTTCTGGAGCTACTGAACACGATTGGGAATTACATCAGCTTCTTCCTCTCCCCCATTGCCATGGTAGGTGTCCTTGCTCTGCTCAGCACCCTCATATCCAGGCAGTTGGGGGATGTTTCTTTGCTTTGAGCCATCCCTCAGCTTTGATAGGACGTCATGGCTTTGTCCAGGAGGCTGCATCCAGGCACCTAACCCCCCCTGTGTCTCTGCCATCCACAGGTCTACAACACCTTCCCCACCATCATGCACCACCTCCCGGGGCCACACAGGAAAGCCCTGGCCAGGTGTGAGAAGCTGAAGGACTACATCCGAGGAAGAGTGGAGGTTCATAAGCAGAGCCTGGATCCCAGCTGCCCCCGTGACTACATCGACTGCTTCCTTATGAAAGGGGAGAAGGTAGAGGTGGTGCAAAGGGGGGGAGGGCTGCCCACCAGACCTGGCTGCAGCCTGGAAAGCCTCCCAGATAGTACTGAATCCCCTCCCCATGGCATCCTTGCAGGACAAGAGCGGCCCAGAGAGCATGTACAGCAACGAAGACTTGGTCATGTCAGTATTCAGCCTCTTTGGTGCTGGGACAGTGACCACGAGCAATGCCCTGGTCTTCTTCCTCTTGATCTTGTCAAAACACCCCCATATTCAAGGTAAGGACAGTGAAATGTGACCACTCCCTGTGCCTAAGGAGGCCACAGCACAGCAAAGCTGCAGACAGAGAGACCCAGACCCAGAGGTTCCTATATGAGGGAAAGCCAAAAATAATCCTGCATGGGTCACCCAAGGCCATCAGACAGATACAGGCCAGAGAGACCTGGGTACCTGCTCCCTGCCCCAGCCCAGCCCATGAGAGATACCTCGAGCCTGTCTGATCCAGGGAGGTATCATAGAATGCCAGGTTGGAAGGGACCTCAAGGATCATTTGGTCCCACTTTTCTAGGTAATAATATAGTCTCAATGATATGGCCCAGCACCCTGGTCAAGCTGAGGCTTAAAACTGTCCACTGCTTCCCTTGGGAGATTATTCCAATGTTTAATTGTTCTCATGGTGAAAATTTTTCTTCTGGAGTCATAATGGAATCTTCCCAGGAGTAACTTGTACCCATGACCCCTTGTCTTTTCCATGTGACTCTGTAAAAAGGGAGTCTCCATCTTCTTGGCAGCCACCCTTTATGTACTGGTACATGGTAATAAGGTCTCCCCTAAGCCTTCTCTTCTCAAGGCTGAACAACACCTGCTTTTCCTTATGTGGCAGGTCCTCCAGTCCCCATATGAGGACAAAGACCCAATTTCTGGCCTCTACGAGGGGTTACACCATGTAGCTCCTGCTCTGCTGGGTTGTCCTTTGGCTCTAGAACAGGTGCCAGGGGAGGGCAGTGAGCAGCTCTGCACAGCAAGCCCTGCAGCCCCGCGTCTGCCTTGTCCCCAGCTAAGATCCAGGAGGAGATCGACGCGGTGGTGGGCGCTGGCCGTGCCCCCAGCACGGAGGACAGGCTGAGGATGCCCTACACCAACGCCGTGATCCACGAGCTGCAGCGCTGCCACAAGACCCGCATCGAGAACTTCCCCCGCATGACGACGCAGAACATCGTGTTCAGGGGCCACAGCATCCCCAAGGTGAGGCTGTGGCCCTGGACTCTGTGACCCCGGGGGGAAAGGCTGGCAGGGGTGCTTGAACAACATTTGCCTTTGCCCCTGGACTGTTTGCTCATTCCTGAAGGCCCCAGGTGTTTCCCAATCCTTGGTGGGGGGAGGTGGTGATGACCTTTCAGTGGAGCAGTGGGAGGGGAATGCTGCTGCCAGTTCTGCCCACATACCTGTGTCCATCGTGTCCTGGAAAAGCCCATGGAGATGTGCAAGGGAGCAGGGGCAGGGAGGCTGAGCTTGGCCCAGCACCAGGCCAAACCTGTCCCCTCTCCTCAGCAGATCACACATTTTGTGCAACACCCACCTTGAAGGAGCACCTCTCTCCATTGGACTTGGTGCAGTGAGAGGGGGTTTTCATGTAAATCAACAGGAATAACTCCGTAATTTTTGTCTCATGAGCTGCAGAGAGACTGGCAGGACTGTGGGGACAGTTGTCGCTGCCTGGCACAGACACATTGCTCCAGGCTGCCCCACCAGGGGCATCAGGATGGGCAATGGGGGGGGGGGCTTGGTGTGGGCTTTGAGCTGGGCACCCAGCATCCTCCCATACCTCCCAGTGCTCTTTACCTGCACCTTCAGCTCAGCAGAGCCCTGTGCCATGGTACTGATGTCCCTCCTTGCTCCCCTGCCCCATCTCTCTCCTGCAGGGCACAGTCGTTATTCCAGTATTTTCATCCGTCCATACGGATCCAACCCAGTGGGAGAAACCCAAAGAAGTCAACCCAGGTCACTTCTTGGATGAGAACGGCGAGTTCAAGAAGCGTGAAGCCTTCATGGCTTTCTCAGCAGGTCAGTGCTCAGCCCTGCTCCAGGGACCACCAGCAGGAACATGGGTTGGCATAAAAATTGCACCCTTAATACGAGATTTCTCGCTCTCCTTTTGTGCCCTTTTCCCCCCAACCAGTGGGTGAAGCCCTCAGCTGGGTGACCACCCTCCCCTTCTGTGTCCCCAGGGAAGCGGATGTGCCCAGGAGAGGCTCTGGCCCGCATTGAGCTCTTCCTTTTCCTCACCACACTGCTGCAGAGCTTCACCTTCCAGCTGGCTGAGGAGCACAAGGAGATGGATTTATTCTCCCTGTGGCTGGAGATTGAGAGAAGGGCAATACCAGGCAAGTTCTTTGCTATTCGGCGCCCGGTGTCCTCCTAAGCAGAGAGTGTGAGGAGAAGGAACGTCCAGGTACCTTCAGTTCTGGAATCAGAGCCAGCCCTGTGACCATGAGTGTGACAGCAGCACCCACCAGGCAGGAGGGTCACTTCAAGCTTCTCCTCAGAGAACTGCCAGGCATCTCTGCCACCAGCTCCATGGACAACTGAGCTCCCAGCCTGTCTTCTCTGTGTCCCAGTAACACCAGGACACCACCACTGGTTTTCTCTGGTTGAACCTTGTGCCAGGGCTGTCCATAGCTCCCCAGCTCAGCTGGGTGCTCCCTTGTTTTGGTGCTTCTGTAATAAAAATAACCATCACAACTGGATGCTGGTGATTGTAAGGACGCTTGCGGTGCCTCCTCACATCTGGCTGGTGATGCTCAGGCTTCCCAGCCTCTCCCAGGCAGTGTGTGAACCAGCCAGAGCAACTAAGGTGACAAGATGAGGGTATCTAATACTTCAGCTTCCCTGCTTTGCTCCCTCTCTGTCCCCTCCAGGATTATCCAAAGTCTGTGACCCTGCCAATCACTCTTGCTCCCACCCCTGTATCCCACCCTGTGGTGATGAAACCCTTGTGATCTTCCTTCAGACCATCATAATATTAAAAATGACACGTAGGGGGAAACGTGCTGCAGGAGGGAGGTGCTGGGTGTCCCATCTGTGTTCTGTGTGCTGCCTTCAGCCCCCCTGCACGAAGAGGGAGTTACTTGCTACCCCCAGGCTCACTCCAGCCTTTATTCCAAAACTTTGGGATTTTAAAAGAAAGGAGGGTTTTTTGCTTTAAATGTCTGTGCAGGAGAAAATTACCCTGACACATGCTCACCCTGTGCGGCTTCAGTTCAATGGCCTGGGCTCCTCCTTCCACTGTTGGGCAGCTGGGGATGAACCTGAGCCTTGGAAAACCAGAATGTCTCCCATTGCATCCAGTTCTTTCCAGTACAAACTTCCCAGATATGGGACTTCAGCTCCATGTCTGTTCCTGGAGCATGTTAATCTTTCCTAGACTTCGTGTGTCCCAGGACAGACTGAGCCAGGAAAACATTCAGTTTGTTTTAGCTGATTTGCCTCCCCAGCTTTAATCTTCAAACATACCTTGCACACCTGGGGAATTCATTGCTTCCCTCAGGACACGAATCCTCACCAGGGGGGCTCCTGGGACAGGCAGCCCTGCAGCACCAGCGCTGGGCAAAGCCACCTGAGCTCTGGCAGCAGCAAAATGCTTTCAGCTGGGGAGGAAGCACAGGTTTCCAATAAAGGGGGGGG